TTTAATTGTTATTATTGATTGTTTTTTTAACTATTTTTATTATTGGTTGCTTTTTGTTTTTTTAATAAAGTTTTGTTTTAATTACACTTATATTTGCGTATTACATTCTCCCCGAATGTTAGTGTAGAATGGAATAATTTTTTTTTTTTAAGCAAATAAAGTTTCATGAAAAACTTTACCAAAAAATGTTAGATTTTATATATTAAGCTCAATACTATCTACAAATTTAAAAAAAAAAAAAAGGAGAAATCTTTTTTTCGTTAAAAATTAATAACTAAAATCCTTAACTATTTCATTAAACCCCATTTTACTCTAATTATTACAAAAGCATTTAAAAAGAATGATAACAGCAACAACGATATATCTGAAACCAACGTACGTAACGCAATGTATGCCAATAATTTCTTTATACCAAATAATGTTTTAAAAAGGTTTTTGGCTATGAAAATAGCCGGGTTTTTTTTACCAGTGGCATATAAAGCTGACTTTTTTTGTTCTGTTTTTATTTTTAGTAATTTGTATTTTTTTAAACTTTATATTAAAAAATATTTTTTTAATATATTTTATATTTATTTTAATTTTATTTAAAAGTTAATCTACGAATAATAGTGGCAAACTTATCAATGACTTTTTTGATATCTATAACTATCTCTGTATGAATTCATTAATGTTAAACCATTTAGGCGGTCCTCAACCATGGTGCTTCGTATGTAATTTTTTGGTGCCGAAGTAAAGAAAATTACCGCTCACACTCACATGAAGTTAATGGAAAGGTAGTAAGTAACTTTAGACAAACTTTTATGTTTTCAAAACCAGGAAAGTTTATCGCTTTTAACGCCTCAGAAATATTAGAAGGGACATCTCCTTTAAAATTTAACCAGAAGGCTTTCTATAAATCTACTTATGTAGACCAAAATCTGGATACAAACATTCTATTTTCTTATTGCAAACACTTGATAATGTAAGAATACAATGGAAAGAAGACCAGTTTTTATTGTTACAATTGTTAATAGCTTTTTAACTAAACCTTTTTTTTACTGAATCTAAAGAATTTATTGATACTGATGAAGGTAGAGTGTTATCAAAGCATTGAAAAGAGCTAGTATTATTAACAAAATCATCATTAAAGTTGAATGATTAGAATAAAATTCGGCATTTAAGAATAGTTTAATTGAGGTCTGTAATCTTAAATCATAAGCTATACAGTTATTTCCAGTTAGACATAAGGAGATAGAACTGTACTAACAGTTTCCAGTTGATTGAGACCTGAAATATACATAAAGTATAATAATTGATAAACTTATACGAAAAAATTTATAAATATTTTTAACTAGCTAGCAGTCAATATAACTTTACAATTAACCAAATAGTTTAGAAAATCATGGAACTTGAACAAATATCTTTACCTTAAAACAAAAAAATTGCTATTATGTTTTTCTTTAAAACTTTTAACTATGTTTTTTTTTTAAACTTAAAACTAAAAAAAGATTTCAAAAATTTTAAGAGTTTTTTCTTCTTTGCAAGAGTCGACAATAACAGTACCTTTACAAGAACTAATATTTTTTTCTAACATATCTTTCAAAGAAATCAATTTTGTTTTATCATTTTGTAACATAATGTTTTTAACTTCTTGATTGATTGACATTTTAAATTAATACTCGGACACACAAATTAATGCTTGAACATTTAAAATTAAACGAATTTTAAATATTATGAATTATTCAAATATATGTTAGGGTGTATATTTGGGTAGGTCCGGGTGTACGTTTGGGTACGTCCGACAGTGTTTTTTTTATAAAAGAAACGGGATATTTAAAAGATATTTAATGAAAACTAAATTAAATATAAAGATAAACAATATAATGAAAAATGCTGGGTACGTCAACTAATGTATTTTATCATTTATGTATTTTATCATTTAATATATTTTATCATTCTTACCTCCTGATGATTGCAAAACAATAGATTTTGCCAAAAATTTATTAAGGGTGTTATGCTTTGGGTACTTCCAAAAATTGTTATAAGTAAAGAAAATTTTCATTTATTTTTTAACAAACCAAATAAAAATTTAAAAAGATTTTTAATTATATATTAAAAAAAAATTGGGTACGTTTGTTTAAGTAAATATTGTTTATCAAAAATTGCTTAAACCTCCAGCTAAGATACTTTTATATACATTTTAAAATTTGGTTTATACGAGAACCATTGGTATTTTTATTTCACAATTGCCTATAAATGTAAAACGCAAGCGTAGAACTTAAATCTTATAGAGTTGACAGTTCAGTAAAAAAGATATAAACTTTTTTAAAATTCAATTAATAATCGAATTTAATATAATTTGTATTTTTGATATTTTTGGGTACGTTATAAGACGTATTAGAAGTGAAGTGTTCATTTGTAATTTTATTGGTAATTTATTTATAGCTTGTCATCTCACTAAAATCGAATCCATTATGGTCAAAAACACTTGGCTTTTTTTTATATATTAGAAAAATATATTCGTATATATTTTTTTAACATATACACAAGTATACGTATGACTGTGTGTATATATTTTATTTTTGAATCAATTTTTTCTATCACTTTTTTATTTTTTTGTGTATATTATATACACAAAAAAGTATACTATATATAGATATAATACACTATATATATAAAAAATATATATAACTATATATATATATTTTTAAATTTTGCTATATATATACATATATATATATATATATATATATATATATATATATATATATATATATATATATATATATATATATATATATATATATATATATATATATCATATATATATATATATATATATATATATATATATATATATATATATATATATATATATATACATATATATATATATATATATATATATATATATATATATATATATATATATATATATATATATATATCTTATATATATATCTTATATATATATATATATATATATATATATATATATATATATATATATATATATATATATATATATATATATATATATATATATATAAATATATATTTTATGTTATTTATATATATTTTATACTTTTTTTTTTAAGTATAATAACTCATAAAATATAGGAAACATAATTTCGGAAATCATATATTCAATACTTTTTCTAATACCATTCTTTTGAAAGAATGTATGGAAGCAATTTATAAAGGAAACCATAATCGCCAAACTTCAAAAAGGTTTAATATACTAAGAAGTAGTATCTGTAATAAAATAAATTCAAAGCATAAATAGTGCATTAAGCACCTACCATATTCACATATGATGGAGGAGCATTTATTTTTTACCAAAATAATCGTTGTATGTAATCTGGGGTTTCTAATAGATGTAAAATTTGATGTAAAAATGTTCGTTAAAATTCCAAAACCATACAGTATACAGTACAATTTTTTCAAACAATATAACTGGCGATGATAGGTTTCAAATGTTATGAAACGCTCACAGATAAAATTGCATAAAACATAAAAAAAGCGTGTAATTTTTCTAACAGCAGCTATAAACAAAAAAGAACTAAAACTTCATTTTGAGAACATTAAACATGAACTTGAAGATTTTCCCCTTTGTAACATTTGGTAAAATGACGTAACCGATTTGCGTGATGACCCTGGACTTGAAAAAGTTGTTATAACACGTGAAATGAAGTACCCTGAAAAAATAATTCTTCTCTGTGATGTTTTGTGGATATGATTTAGAAGAAATTTTTTCACCATACACATTTATTTAAAAGACTCATTGTTAAAACAGGCTCCAAAGAATTCTCTATTTAAAAGAACCAAACCTGGTTGGATTGATAAAATCAGTTTTGAGGATTGATAAATTTGGGCGTTATTACCATACGTAATGAAACAAATTTAAAAAGTATTAATATACAGTTTTTTTTACTATTTGAACGATAGTATAATTAATGTTTTTAAAAAACATAAATTGGGGTGGTGATGTTGAAAAATGATTCAAAATTGAACCAGGAAATTCAATTTAGCGGATTATGACAGTGAAACAGAAACAGCATCTGATAGATAAAGTAATTTTGACTTAAGGTGGTTCACCCCCATTCAAAAAATTTTCTTAAAAATAATCAAAACAACATTAAAAACACAATCACACAAGTTGAAAAAAGTATGCTAATATTTTTCTAAATATGAAATCTTAATTTGCCAACTTTTCCCTCACTTATTCCATAAAAAGTACGCAAAAGTGGTTATAATTTAAAACAAGATATCTCCATTTCTATTAATCATTTAGTTCTGAAATTATCACAGTATGTTCCTGAAATATGCGAAACCAGAATCATGCATTGAAGATTCATAGAATATTTTAAAATTAATTTTTAATAGATTTATTAAAATTTTTAACAAAAAATGAAAGAAAAAAAGGTATTAAAGATACTTTGACACCATATTTATTTGTAATTCTGGTTCGTTACCTTAGCCAAACAATAACAAAAGCACCCTGAAAATTTCAAGTTAATATAACGTCGCAATCTGAAAATATCATGTTTTAAAAATTACATATTTGCTTAAAAATGACGTTTAGAGAAAAACACTGAAAACAAAGAAAAAATTCGTTACATTACAAAAAAAAAGCATGAGCCCATTTATAACATTCACTAAACATAAAGCACATAATAAAGAAGAAGCTGAAGTATAAAAAAGATATTGTTGTTTAGAAGCTTCAACAAGTTGAAATTTTCTTGTTTAAAAATGCATTGCAATGGCGTTGCTATGGACCTCAAAACCCTTTAATGGCCAAAGTACACACATTTTTACATATTTATTTATTTATTTTTTTAAAAAATTATAATGTATGTTCTATGAACTAAAAATATCAATATTTGAAAAATTAATTTTTTTTAAAAAAATTTAAAATTAATGGGGGTGAACCACCTTAATGTTAGCCTCAAAATATTACATTCTTTATCAAAATTAGTACAAAGTTTTTACCGAACGTATGTTTGTTCTCATACAGCTTTGTTTATTTAAGGATATAATTAACGAAATGGCGCAAAAAATTGAATTTCTGACCGATACAAATTGAGAGAAATTTTATTGAGGTATCGGATGTCAGCATAATTTCAAGTAATTGAAAAAGTAACTTAATATAGTATCTGTTGTTTTGTTGTTTTTGTTGTTGTTGTTGTTGTTGTTGTTGTTGTTGTTGTTGTTGTTGTTGTTGTTATTGTTGTTGTTGTTGTTGTTATTGTTGTTGTTATTGTTGTTGTTGTTGTTGTTGAAATTTAATAATGTTTAAAAATGTTTGTTTACTTTTAGAGAATCGTTCATCATGCGTGTAAAGTTGATACTTATATGTTTTCACAACATATTTCAAGTTCTTTATTCAGCACGGTAATGCGTTTAATTTTAGTGAACTTGTCAGCAGCTCTAACCAGTTATAAGCAATCGTATAAATTTTCAGAGTTACAAAATACAAAACAATAAAAATTTGTATTATACCATTATTTAAAATAGTTAAAATGTTTTTAGTTTATTATATTTGTTATAGCATAACATTTCTTTTAAATTTTATATTACATACATTAAGACTATAAATAGTCTTAATGTGTATGTAATATAAAATTTTTTTTTTGTTTTTTTGTTATACTATTATTTTTTTTTTGTAATTTTTATTATTTTGTATTTCTCTCTCAGTTTGATCAAGTATTATTCAATATCTGATGGCTAGTTACAACAAATCCTCTCTGATCGATTTGTTGATTTGGTGACGAGTAAACAGAAAGGTTAAGGAGATCATGTTTACTGTTGAGTATTTAAATATTTGCGTCACAAACGTGTTATTTAAAGATTAGAATACTAATGTTTTATTTGCATGAACACCTTTTAACCGCAACACCTATACTATAGGTGTTGCGTATACTAATGATGTAATGTTACTGCTATCTAAAATCGAGGCGAACCATGACAAAATATAAAATTTAAAGATAAAATATTTTAGCTTTTTTTGTTTTTTATTTGCTACAAAAACGTTTTTTGCTTCGGAAAATGATGCTTTTTTATGTTTGTTTGTTTGTTTATTGTTATTAATCTTAATAATTTTTTTTTCTTTACTTAAAAAAAATAATAATAAAAAAAAATATGGATGGAAGTCTTGCAGTTGCAGAAAAAGAGGTTTATATTGTTCAACTGAAACTCGTCCTAAACAGCTGGAAAGTGGTGGTAGGAGTCAATACTGCTGTGTACCAATGTGTGAAAATGTTAGGTATGACAAACATAAAAATAAGACAAACATCGGTGTATTTACTCTCCTTAAAAGCAACCCTCATTTGTTAAAAAACTGTATTCGTGTATTTAATAACATTCGACGACAAGGAGGATAAGACAATTTTAATGTTGAAAAGAAGAATTTACAAAAATAAACTCCAATATTAATGATGAGATTAAAATAAAAAATAAAAACGAGTTTAATTATGAAAATATTTTCACTGAACCAAAATTGTATAAATCTTTGACTGGACAGGTTCAATCAGTGGCGTAGAAAGGTTTTTAAATGTTTGAAATAACCAACTTGTAAACAACAAGAATATTCCAAATTTTTTTAGGTTAGTACAAAAAATATTTCATCAACTTGTTGCTCTCACGTTTGGGGCAGGAAGGGGGGCTAAGATTTTAAGGTTTCTTGTTCCCATTACACTTGTTCCAATCGCGCTAATTTTTTTTTTTTTTTTTTTTTTTTTTTTTATTTGTGAATTTTTCTGTCATATAAACGTAAAAAGATGTATATAGTGTTGAAAAAATAAAAAATAAAAAAAATAACAGCAACATAGAATCAATGCAAAAAAAAGGTCTGAAAACCAAAATTAAGTACAATTGATCAGTTTTTTATGACTCTTGTTTCTTTTAAAAATGTTATTTGTGGTATGCTTAGAGCCATTTGTATTTGAGAGTAATATTCATTTTCATGTTTTTTTCGCAAAACTGGTTTGTCATTTTTTATTTTCACATAAAAAGGTTTGTTGTGTACTAATTCCTTGGGTGTATAATTTTTCTTTGACCAAGGACATTTTATTTCTAGTAAACCAAATTCATTATTCAATTCTCCGTTAAATATCATAGCCATAGGAATTTAGGTTGTATAAAAATCCCTATTTCAAAATGCATTATACAAAAATATAACTTATCTGATTCTAATTATGATTTCCATTGCTAAAGATATTTATAAAGACATTATGAAACACAAACTAAATCATTCTATAAAATGCAGATTATAGAATGATTAAGTTTTTGTTTCATAATGTCTTTATAAATATCTTTGGCAATAGGAATCATAATTGGAATCAGATAAATTATATTTTTGTGTAAAGACGGATATAAGGCTGTCTAAGTTTTTGGCTTTAATATATACTTTATGAGCGTAGCTAGATATAATTTTTTTTCTTCGTATTGAAAGCCATTTATCTGACAAATTTTGTAAAACTGTTGTTTTTTCAATATCTTTTGCTTCTAAAATGTAATTTTTATTTTTTCAAAATAGCTTTTCTTTTCAAAAGAAAATGTACAATTTGGAATGACGTCATTAAAGTCATCATTTATTTCTTTAAAGGGTAAATACTTAAATTCAATTTCCGGTTCTTGAATAGCAGATTAATCTTCAGCTAATTTTTGTTAATTTGATATTATTTCAAAATGTGGTTCCACAACTTGCAAATGTATACTAAGAGGTGTGCCTGTTGGAAATTGACCAAACCTTATATTTATATATTTGCTATGTGAATCGGTGGCACAACATCGGCAAACCCAATTTTTTAGTCAACTTCAATAATTTTTTTTTTGCAGCTTTAACACTTTGAAGTTCGTGTGAAGTTCATTATAAAAAGTCTGAGGTCATACAATGTAGAATATATGCCTCGCTTATTATTTTCTCTTAACAGTTGAACTAATTATAGGAGCTTTACTTATATTTATTTCATCAGGTATGCCCCATTGTCGTTGTTTACTAGTACAAGAAATTTCAATTGACTTTTTTATGAAATTTCACAGAGTAATAAGCTAATTCTAACAACAAAGCCATTACATGGTTACAATATCCACTCAATCCTGCTGGAATTTTTTGATAGGTGTATAATAACTTCCCTTTTTTCCTTTTTCATACTCACTTTACACAATCCTTCAACTTGAAATACATTTTTTGCAGAACATGTAAATATTGTGTCTGATGAAATATAACGCTCCTCTTGGAATTTTCTACCTCTTAAAAGTGTTTTTTTAATTGATAGCCCTTTTAATAAACACCTTGATTTACGATAATTTTGCATATCTTTTATGGTAAATAAGGGCATTTCTTTCAAGCTTTTGACCCATTTGTTTTGTAACAGATACTTTTGATTTATTTTTGTAACTTTATATGGTAAAAAAACATTACTTTCTTCTTAACAATCACTTTCAGGTAAGTCTTGTGACAGAACAACAGGAATTGCTTCTTCAGTATTTACAATATATATATTAAAGTAACAGTTGACATCTCTTTTTAAACTTTGATAGCAAAATATTTTTTTAACATCATGGTTTGCCTCGATTTCAGGTTGCCGAAAACATCATTGTAATTCAGGATCTGTCTATTACATCTGACGTTTCTTAATTACCACTTTTATCTTCTCAATTATATCTTGCTTTTCTTAATTACAACATTCATCTTCTTAATTACATGTAAGGTTTCTTAATTACAACTTCCACCTTCTTAATTACATCTTACTTTTCTTAATTACAACTTTCAAGTTCTCAATTACATCTTGAAAAAGTGTAATACCCTTTGCTTGGTTTTTTATTTAAAAAAAAACAATGTGTAATGAGTATTGTTTTGATAAATATTTATTAGATAATAATAAATGTTACATTATGCCTCAATTGATAAAAAATTATCGTTGTAAAAAAAATAAAAAATAAAAATAAAGCAAAAGTTAATTCAAAAATATTTTGATTTTGCTTGCTACATAGTAAATTCGGTTTTATGCTTTTCGATAAAATGTCTTTTTTCTTTTCGGGGAGTGTTGTCAGGGTAAATTTTTACAACCTGATTTCCTTTACTAACAAACGTATTTTTGTAATGCCGTCGCTCAACTCGCATCCAATCTTGACTTGCAGACAATTCAACTGCACACCATGACTCACAGTTCATTTTTTTTTTTGCTTAGTTATTTTAAGTTATTTTGGTAACCGTGAACGTTTTTATAACGCAATGTAATGTTTTCTCGGTATTTTATTTCGCCTAATGTTTTCTTTATTTCGTTTTTAATTGTTTTTCTTCCGTCTTAAACAAAAAAATAATAAATAAGAATGATTTTTATTGGTTAAATTTTGATTAAATAACGATATGGATTGTTTTGAGAAAAATACATACATTTACAAAGCTTTAAAAGATTGCACCTAACCAAATAATTTTTCATTTGCAGATGCCAGGGTATCGACAGTATTGTTTACAATAACTTATTGTAATAATGTAAAATACACATTTTAATGCAAAAAGCAAATATTGATGTATCCATAGTCTTTGCACGTTGTTATTTATATAATCAAGCAATTCATAATAACCATTTTTATTGCGAAAAAGTTCATCAAAAACCAATCAAAACCAATTGTAAATTTGCATTTGTATTTTTTTTTTATCTATTTTTATTCGTCGTACTTGTTTTGATGTTATATTTGTTTTTTAATTCATTTTTGTTAATTAACTGACGAATGAACAAATGAGGTAGAAGATGCCCCCTCGATCTTAAATTAGTCACTGAAATATTGTCTGTATAAAATGTGTTTTAAATGTATAAGCAAATTTTATTCCAAAGTTAATATTTTATTTAGTATATAAGAAAGACCAGGACTCGTTGCCTCTATTTTTACATTTTGAGCTATGTAACGTCTTGAAGAGTATGAATTTAGCTAACAAATTTAAAGTTACATATATTATTATAAAAAACTTCCTTAAGACCCTATCACTGTTCTTAAGAAATTATTTTAATAATGAAAATCTTCTGAATTGAAAGCAGTAGCGTAGCGACAAAAAATAGGCCTTCCTGCAAAATTTTAATCAGGGCCCCTAAGTTACTTTTCTGCAATCACCCTCCTACCTTTCCCATTTCTTGACAAAAATTATACTTAAAAAAAAACCTTATCTTTAAATTTAATTTTGATTTCTATTTTTGGTGTTATAGACCAGTGTTATAGATCAGTTTGCATAAAAGGTGTTATAGATCAATATGCAGCAATAAAGACAAGAAAAAAATAAGAAAAAAAAAAAAAGATTTTCAACTTACTATATTCGTCATTTATAAACATTTTACAATGTTCTTGTTTTACAACTTTTATCAAAAAAGTTTAAATAAAAATTAATAACGACAAGAGCAAGGTTTTCTATTTACTATAGTACTACTATAGTAAGTACTATAGTAAGTAGAAAATCTAATGAAAGTTTTTTTCTTGTCTTTATAGCTGCAAATTGGTCTATAACACCTTTTAAACCAAGCGGATTTTTTTACTCGGATTAGGTTTTAATATGTGGAGTAACCCAAGGATCATACTTGTTCTTTGATTTATTAATCTTGGGGATAAAATATTCGCAAACAGTACAATTTTTAGAAATTAATAACTTAAAAATTTGAACCGCGATTTTATGCAAAAGTAAAATATTTCATTTTATTGATGCAATAAAGTTTAATATTGAATTGTAATCATCTGCTATAACTAAACAACTGAAATTCACTTTTGGGAAACGGTTTTGAAAATAAAATTCCTCAAGTGATACTAAAGCGGCCCTTTTATTAGTGTTATTACTTCATATAGCATTTGGAAACAATTTTAAAATAGAACTACTTCTCCAACATATGGCTACTATGTCCAACATATGGTTTAAGCAACTGTAGGGTGTCTGGATGTAGGAAACGTGATATGTTTAAATTACCGACAATAAAGCAGCCATCATAGAGCTTCCTTATTAAGCTATGAGCTATTTTGAAGAACTCTGTGATATATTATATTAAATTAGCATTTGGTCTAAGTATAACCAAGATAAGTATATATGTTTATTGTTAATTTTTACAGATACCGAAACTTGTTTGAAAAAAGTTTTATAGAACTAACTAACTTCATGAGAGATAAACACATCAGTAATGAAGGCATCAGAAAGCAACCGTGGCGCAGTGGTTAGAGGAAGGAAGGATGCGTAAACTTCTAGTTAAATGCTCTTCCGCGGTGCTTCGTGATAAGACCGTAAGGACTTCTGGCAGCACCTAAATAACCAAAAAAAAAAAAAAAAAAGCTAACTACACTGCCACATCGACGCACAGTGAGTCAGAAAGGTGAAAAAACGACATAAATTATATAACTATCAGATATAAACATGTGATACATCAATACTATCGTATTTTGGGTCAAAAAATTTAAATTTGCTATTGAAAATATTTTTTATGCGCACCTTTGACGCGTGTAAGTGTCATTTAGCGTGCAAAATATGATTTAAATAAATAAATCGCATTTCTTGATCCAAAATACCATAAAAAAGAATACTACTTTTTTTTAATGTAAATTTTTCTT